TCACTCATCTTCTTCTTCATCAGTCTCCATTGATCTTTGAAACACCATTGATCCAATTATGGAGGTGTTCTTCGAGACTCAGAGTGGCTCAACGTTCTCCATTGAATTAGGTTACTGGGACACAGTGTTAGAGATCAAACAGAAGATCGAGAAGTATCTACGTATCCCTGTTTCCAAACAAACCCTTTTCTTCAATGGCAAGGTTCTTCAAGACCATCTTGATATCCAAAAATGTCACATCTTCGTCAACTCTCGTCTCCAACTCTTGGTCTCTTCTTCTCCAGTGAATCAAACGGAGCAATCTCCTCCGTCAAACTCATCGGAACGGATCATCAACGATCAAGATTTGCCTGTGACGGTTCAAGTGGTTAAACAAAACGAGCAATCTCCATCGTTAAACTCTAGAGAACAGTTCATCAACGATCAAGATTCTTCTGTGAAGGTGAGAACAACAAGAACAACGATCAAGTGAATCAAACAGAGCAATCTCCACCGTCAAACACATCGGAACGGATCATCAACTTTCAAGATTTGCCTGTGACGGTTCAAGTGGCTCAACAAACCGAGCAATCTCCACCGTTAAACTCGACGGAACAGTTCATCAACGATCAAGATTCTTCTGTGAAGGTGAATCAAGTGCTTCAAATAGAGCAATCTCAACCGAAAAATTCAGCTAATGACGTCATTGTGTGGAGAACCATGAAAAATGGTCAAGTGGTTCAATACGGGGAATCTCTAACGTCAAAACCAGTCAAAAAGATCATTAAGGTTCAAGATTCGTCTGCGAAGGGAAGGACCACCAAGAAGAGGAGAATGGTAGTATATGTTTTGCCATATTCCGGCGAGAGTGAAGCTAAGATTCTGGTAGGTGTGGACCCGAGGGATACCGTAAAAGAAATGAGGAAAGAGTTGGTTAAGCTTCAAGATAATGGTCGGTTAAATCTGCCTCAACAAGGATATTTCTTGACACACGGAAAGAGTGTAATCAACGAAGAACAGTCATTCACGTGGAACGGTGTTCATCCTTGCGATACGATCAAGATTCATCCTCGAAATGTCTCTGTTACTCATAGCTCTTAAGTCGTTTCGATTCAAAAAAGAAGCTATGTAGCAAAATTAGTATTCCCATACATAGAACAAAAACTATGATACATTTTGTAACAAGAAGTTTCTGTTAAAGCTTCTTGCTTTCTGCAAATATTGTAATTACCGATAAGAACAACTTTGACATTGGTTAGTTTACGATTGGATGGTCTTTCTATATGACATTTTTGAAACTCCTCAATGATCTCTCACATATAGCAAGAAAAGTGAAAAGGATTGCATCAAATGTTAGCTAAGTACTAGTGTAGTATTCGCGCCCTGCGCGGGATAACAATTTACAAATATAGATGTTCACAATCACAATCATGTAAATTAAACCAATTCAGAACTAATTCTATTATGATCATGTAACAAAATTTATTCAAAAGGAAACATAAATAGTTAGTGGATTTAAACATAAAGCTGCTGATTTAGCTTATATATATATGATGATTTAGCTTCCTGTCATTGCCAAATCTCATCTTCGATAAGCTCTAGTTCAATCATGATTTTTAATTTCTCCATCTCGAGTATCATCTTTCTGTCTAACATCTTCTCGTAAGCCTCAATTGCCATACAATGAATTTCGAAAATATTTGATCATGTAAAATATGAATTAGAAGGTAAAAAGTATGGAGATTATTATATAATCAACTCTAATAATTCGGTAAGAAATAATTTATGGGAGGAAATGAACACATACACCTTGACGATGAAATCTCTAAATTCCTCCAATTGTGAATTTATAATAAACGATCTCAAAGATTTGGAACCTTGAGACATCTTATCGAGAATGCAAACATAAGAGTTGTAATAATA